CGCCAGAACTGTCAGGAAACATCCCCTCAAAATTCCAGTCTTCTAGCTTCTTACGTCCTCGAGTAACTTACCCGGAAGGAACTTTCCACGGGCCTGTACGTAGGTACCACGCTTACCCGCGGGCAGGGTTTGAACTCGTTGATACCCACTTAGACAGGGAACACCACCCTAAGACTTCAGTTCTCTAGCTTCTCAGAACCCCGAGTTATGAATTTACGCGGGAAAAAATTTGGGGGGAGGCTCGTACGCGGGTGCCACGCTTACCCGGGGGGCTGGATCTGAGCCCATTAGCACCTACTTGGGCGGGGAACATTCCCCTAAAATTTCAGCTTTCTAGCATCTCAGAACCCCGGGTTATGAATTTACGCGGGAATAATTTTGGGGGGCCCGTACGCGGGCACTACGCTTACCCGGGGGGTGGATTTGAGCTCATTAACACCTGCTTGGACAGGGAATATTACCCTAAAATTTCAGTTCTCTAGCTTTTCTGGTTCGCAAGTTAGCAGCTTACCCGTAAAAAACTTTGGCGGGGTCTCACGTGGGTACCACGCGGGGGAAAACGCCGATTTAGGGGATAGGGGCCCGTACGTGCATGTAGACTAAGTTCCCAAAGTTTCAGCCCCGTAGCTTTTGCCGGTCTTGAGATGAAAAATCGGTACAGAGGCACACAGACACACACACACAGACACACACACACAAACACAAGCACACACAGACACACACACAAACACATACACAAACAAACACAAACACAAACACACACACACACAGAAAACCTCTCGTCCATTTAACATTCGGGAGGTTTTGTGAATATTTAGCTTTAGCTGGTGAGGCTGGTGGTGCTGCTCTCATGCTAAAGATCGAAGGCTTGACCCTGCCAGCGGTTCAACAAATTCACCTGAGATTTTTTTTTTCGATGGTAAATTAGTACTAGCACATGCCAGGCAGTCAAATCAAGTAACATCTGAAAGAAAGAGCCATCAGCCTTGCCATCGAGCAATTCCTGCTACCCAACTCCAGCTATGTCCGACTGTTCCCGCTTTCATATATGTGCGAGCGAGTTTTCAAGTGTTGTGGTTTTGTCGATATATTTTAACTCGAAAATCAGACTGAGGACTCAAATGATCATCGCCTTATCCTCCAATATTTTCACAGAAAACAAATTAGCAAACAAATGAAAGTGGAAAAAATTTGCTGAAGGAGTGCTCCCTTCTAAGGAAACCGTTTTGGTTTTAACTGACAAACTTTATTTTGATCGATTTCCAGTGAATGACGCGTCGCTTCCAGGCAAGACAAACGCTTAGCCCCTAGGCAAGACATGACGTCCAGCTCCTAGACTAGACAAAAAGTAAATGATACAAAGAAGCATTTAAAAAGAAGTTTTCAAAGAAGTCAATATTCAGGGAAATGCTTTTGGCTGGAAAATCTATGAAAACGCGCTTTCATGCAGGTAAGATGGAGCTTCCGTCAAATAATATGCATAATTTCTGCCAAGTCCGATAAACTGAACATAATTTTGAGAATGGTGAACCTGGCTTTCGGTCCAAAGCATATCTTTTACTCGTAAATATTCTGAGAGGTAGG